ATCCAGAAGGTATCAAGGTTGACGTCAATAATTAAACTTTAATGCACAATTTGGGTATAATAACACATGCATGGGTTGAACCGTTAAACACTTCGCCAGGCAAGGATTTTATCACTGAATCCAGTTGTTGGCTGCTTCGGTGTAGTGTAAATTTATATTTATTACCCACTGAATGATTACAAAACTTAAATGCTCTTCGATAAGACCAATTCAAAATCAATGTCTGGAATTAAATAGCAAGCCTGCAAAACAAATTCATAGTTAGTTTTCAAATGGAGTAATCCTTTGCATCAACGATGAACTAATTGTGTTCTGCCAACAAAAGAAATCTCACCTCATGTCGCAAAAATGAGGAGCCTCGACAGATGGAGAGAAATGGTGATAATGGTGGTCAAGTCTTTCAATGATCAAGGGTTGAGAGTTGGTTAACAATCTGAAAGAAGATATTGCAACAAGTTAACAGACGTCACAAGAAAATATAACAAATAAAAAAAATGTTGACGTGGTCTAACTAATGAAGACTTAATTCTCACCTGCATTTAAGTATTTCTCTCTCACTTCAAGTTCACTCACAGCCACCAAGAGAAAGAGTTGCTGTAGTTAACAACTCACAGCATCCGACAGCTCCGCAAAGTGATACCTGTAATACCAAAGTATCATCAGTTACCAACCAGGGCCAGGATAAAAAATTAAAGACCCCACAATAAGTTAATAACTACAAACCTATGACATCTACTATTGATTCAGTCCATCCTCAAAAGGTCACTAGTAGCACAGTAGTAAATGTGTCAAAACCGAACCATGTCGACATGCCACAAATTCTTGGTAGTAAACAGTGTTCTCATCATTTGTGATGGCAGTCGAGATAAACCTTTCAAATGAGGAGTTCTATTCAAGCCATACCTAAACAAGCAATAGACCAATTTATTAGAAAAGAAAAGGAGGGGGTGAGGGAAAACACAGTATAACAATTAAGAAGCATCTGCATGAAAACTTGCCTGATAGCCGTTTCAGATGGATTTCTCTCACATTCTCAATGGAGACAGTCAGCGCAGTGGAATTTGAGTTAACGATGAGAGCGTATGGTCCACTGGAGAACTGCCGCAATGTTTGGAAGTAACCTGGCTGCAATGACCTTGGCATTAGGATTGTGAGCAAATCAGTTTTACAGACTACTAAGTCATGGGAAAACAAACATTCACCTTCATACCTGCACTAGACTTGATCCTCAACCATACAACCCACTCTCAGTGATAGGAATGAACCATTTAGGCAATTGTACAAAGAAAAGAAAAAAAAAACTGATGTTAGATCCTATTTATAGACTTAATATTCCATGCTTGGTATCACTCAGGGGAGGGTCTTCAAAATAGTTGTGGTCTCTCTCAAGCACTGCCAAGAGCCTGCAAATGAAACCAACTTCAGTTACTGATATGAAGCCATACATCTGAGTCACTAATTGCATTCCATTAATTTCACAGGACAGATTGTTCCAATTTTAAGCCTCACCTCTGTTCAGGATTG